CTGCCCTAGTTGCCCCTTTGAGGCTCAAGCAGACTCAAGCTAATAAAACTATGTAAATGAATTTTGAAAAGAATCAAAAGTGTAGCTTTTTGTTGTATTGTTAAAAATATGAGCTATAGACTAAAATAAAACTGATTTAGTTTTTCTCCTTTACTTCACATACTAATCCCTTGACAAGTTACTCTGTACCTCTAAACCTCAAGGCCATCATTGGCAAAGTGGTAACAGTAATGGACAGTTTAATAAGAAATTACAATGAAACAACATATTCAAAAATATGATGTCTGGCTCTTAAAAGTTTTCTTAATAAAGATAGTTTTCATTATAATACACTTTATATTAAAAATATATTTAATATAATTGGTCCTAGTACATCTTTCAAAAGGAAAGACAAATCATAGATTGAATTTTTTTTTTTTCTTTTCAGTACCAGGGATCGAACTCAAAACCTTGCACTTGCAAGGCAGGCTCGGTGCCACTGAGTTAAATCCCTGGCCCTAGATTGTATTTTCAAGAAGATACTTTTTGTATTTTTTATGAGTACGTGCTTGTAGTACACAGTGTTTACAATCTCTGTGGAGAATACGTAAAGCACTTAATATTCGCGCGCCTTACTTTCTTTCAGCCCCTTTTCCTTCCCACCCTCATCCCTTCATCCATCTCTTTATCTCCTTCATTTTTTGTGGTAAGTCAAAACGCATAATAAACTCTCCCAGAGCAGTAATTAAACATGTATGAGAAAAGCTCTGTCAGAAACAGGCAGTTTAAGGATAAGAAATTGGAATAACCAAAATAAATATGAGGAATTATTATAAATTTTCTCATCTGAATAATTGGCCAGTAAAGTACAGGGATATATAATTTCATGTGCATAGTGTCAAACATTCTCAATTTGGGTAATTATTTTTATCAAAAATAAGGAAAAACAGAAATTTTATTTATTTATTTATTTATTTATTTATTTATTTATTTATTTATTTATTTATTGTAGATCTGAGAATTGACCCGGGGTCTCCTATGTGCTAAGAAAGCCTTCTCTCACTGATCTGCATCCCTAGCCTGATATACATTTTATGTTTACTTTGGGTGACTATTTTTACTGGTTAATAAAAGTGAATATGAATGAATTCCAGTTCAGCAATTCCACCAGGAGACATATGTCTAGAAGATTTTTAATAAAAGTACAAGAGAAGACTAACAAGTTGTAATAAAGACAATATATATGGGAGGAGAAGTTCCAATTATTAGTAGAGAGATATCTAAGTCTTTTTATATATTAATATTGAAAATCAATTTAAATTTATTAACTAGATCGATCTATCTATCTATCTATCTATCTATCTATCTGTCTATATCCATATTAAAACCCCTCAAAAACATAATGATAACACTGGAAATTAAGTTACAAGATTATATGTATGTCGTATAATAGTTTGAATTTTCAAAGCAGTTTCTAAAATTTTAAATTACAGTGCTATTTAAAATATAAAAGCATGATATGAAATACTTACATCAACCTTAGAGTATTAGATGCTTCTGTAGAGACAGACAGAGAAATGGCCTTGTGTAGGTTTATACTTATATCAATTATATTTCTATATTATTGCCAGAAATATTTTTTGCTTCACATTGTAGTGTGGGGAGTATATAGCAGTCCTTTGTGTCTGATAAAATTGCCATCTTCACTGCCCAAATATTTTGATTTACTTATTTTGAATAAGCCCAATAATCTATGCTGTCATTATTGTTTTGTTATTATTATTGTTATTTGATTAGCAACCAACATCAGGAAGGTGCAGATAATGTCTGTGCTCCATTTTGAGTGCTACTGATTTATAATAAAATTCAGACTAATCATAAACAATTATTTTTTCATGTGATATGTTATTGTAGCTGAATAAAAATTCTTTTAGGTTTAGTTTCATTTCTTTTGTATTCTCTGATAAATTATTGTGTATTTTCAGTAAGAACTTCAGCTACTAGTTCTATGATTTGATCAGTTCCATTTGGGTTAAAACACGTATTCTGACAAAATTTATGACTTAGGACATTTTCTATTTAATCATTTTTTAAATTGCCTTATAGTATTCATGATCTCAGAAATTTTATAAAGATTAAATGACATAACATGTAAACAACAGAATTGTGCTTGGCACACAGTATACAATCTATTAAAAAGGAAGTTTGTGGATTGTTACTAGTAATTTCATCAACATTGCCACTATTACCACTAGGCCATTAGATGAAAAGATGGGGATGGACTGCAGGGGAAGGGGAAATAAAAACAATTAAGATGTGTTAAAAACATGTACCTATTCCCTGTGATGAATATAGTTATTGTGTACAGTACTGCAAACATATACTAATAAATGTCTTAAAATTCTTAAAAAGCATTAGTTACCATCTTTCTGGTTATTAGTTGTTTAAATTAATACATTTTGCATAGTTTAGTCCTCTAACTTCACAGCACTTTCTGCAAGTTGTACTGAGCTCCACCATTCTGTTACCTGACCCCCGACTCTTGATCTTTGATTATCCTTGCCTACAGTGTTCTTTCCATTTGTCGGTACCAATCTTATCAATCTTCCAAAGCTTTCTTTAAGTCTTGTTAAATTTTACTGAATTAATTTGAACCTTTTCACGTAATATTTATATTTTCTGTCAGGTCTTTTAGTGCTTAATTATGTTCTACCACACATTCTTCACTGATGTTTCATATTCACAACTTTGCCGCAAATTAAACTACTGGAAACTGTGGGCTGCATCTGTGTTTTTTTCATCAATCTAATAGAGCTTTATAGCATCATGAGTGAGTGGCAGACACTGGACACATTTTAACTTCAATAAAAAAATACTCAACTGTGTTTTTCCTAGCATTTGATTGTGGAGATCACTCATCAAGTTAAGTAAAGTTTGATGTATATCATGATTTCAAATAAAATTTCAAAAACATAATTACATTGTATTTCATTTATCTTTTGTTTAATGCAAACTATCTCAGGAAAGTATCTTTAAGATCTCATAAATACCATTATAAATACTTCTTGGACATTTTTTTTGAGACAGGGTCTCATTATGTAGTCTAGGCTGACCTTGAACTTATTATGTGGCCCACCAGCCTCGCCTTAAACTCACGTAGTGATCCTCTGGCAGCCTCCTTGCTAGATTACAGGCATCTGCCACAATGCCTGGGTGGACTTTTATAAATCATTCTTAGTAAAATAAATTAAGTGTGGTCAAATTGGACAATATAGTAAGAATGGTGACTCCTAGAAGGATAGTCAGCAAAAAAGAGCTGCTATTCATTATGTTTTTCTTGCTTTAATTGAATGATATTATCAGAGACATAACCTCAGATTTTGAAAGAAAATAACCCACCTGATTCTTCTGACAAGAGGGCAAGTTAAGGGCCCAGTAATCATAGTAGAACCCCCCTCCTTAAAGAACAAGAGATCTTCACATTGCAGTACTGAAATTACAAAGAAGCACTGTGGGAATTAGACACCCCAAAATAAAACCCCCAAACCACTGGGGATTCCTCTGATCAAAATCTCCATCAGTCAGTGGATGAAAATTTAGTTTAAAGCAAAAATTCCTATGAGATTATAATTTATTACTCTCCTTAAAATATGAATTCTAATAGCTATTTTAAGTTTAGAACATGTTTTAATAATTACCATTCTGAACTTCTATGAGCCATCAAATATAACTAAAAGTTTTGTTCTCTTTGAGGTTTTAGAGAAGCATAGTTAAGTTATAAAAAATTAAAATATTCTTTTTAATCAATGCCCAGTATTGAAATCATAACGCTAAAAATATATTTAATTTATGATAGCTGTATTTTTATACACTTTTCAATCTTTTTTATACATGCAAATATTTTTAGTCTTTTCTAGGGTTCATTAGCAATTTCTCTAAATGTTTGTCAGAAAGGTGATTGAAAATATCCTCAGCACTATTTCTTAGCATTGCTTGATACCAAATGATGAAAGTGTGAGCTTATGCAGACCCTGTGTTTAAAAGAGCAGCTTTCTTAGAATGGCTTATAGAGGTAAATGACCAAAAGAACTTATTACAATGTTTACAAATATGTAGTCTACAAAGCACCACATAAAAGAAACCTATTTCTTAAATAATGTCTTATTTACTTTTCTCATTGCTAGGACAAAATACTTGACATTCAAATTTAAAGGAGGAAAAGTTTATTTCACTACACAATTTGTAGAGGTATCAGTCCCTAGTCAACTGGGTCCAAGGCAGAATGCTATGGCTAAGGAGCATGGCAGAGAAGAAACAGCCATGGCTTGGTAGCCAGAAAGCACCATGCACCAAACAGCAAGAAGCAAAGAAGGAACAGCAAGCCTTCTTTTCCTTTTTATCCTATCTAGGCTACAAGCCTTTGGGGTGGTGCAACCCTCATTCAGGGTGAGCCTTCCCATTGTGCACACTCAGAACTATGATAAAACAATTAGTGGACTAATCCAGTATCACATGCCACCTTACCCCATCATCATACACCCTAGGTCCAGTCAGCTCCTAAAATCCCCACCTATGAATGCATGAGGCTCGAGGGACATCTAGATATGAGCCATAACAAGTAATAATTGATAGTTTACTAATTTTTATTGATAAACTAATTTGTGTTCTATGCAGGTTAAAATTTAGATTAATATCCCTGTCTTAGCTTATAACATCATTTATATTCATTAATTACTTGTTTATTCATCAACCATTTTTATGAATGAAATTGGACAATGGAACTTGGAAGTGGCTAAGATGCAGTTTCTGCCTTCAAGATTTTCACAATAAAGAGAGGAGTTGAGGAGGGAGAGGAGACAATTACATTACTAATGTCTTAAGCCCCTGTTCTGCATGTGCTCTATGTAATCTTTGTCATTTTTATGATTTTTAAAATTTTCCTTGGACTTGGGATTAAATCATAGCAGCTTATTTTGATTAAAGGCTGTACATGTGTTAAGGAAGAAGGAGAAAAGTGTTACCTGAAGGTGTTCATTGAGATAGGTGAGCTGTAAATGGCCTCCCAATATGGAGCCCAAGCATTGATCCAGAATTGCTTCTCCTGCAGTAGTGTCTTCCTGGGTGTCTATTCCAGCAGAAAAAATTGGGCTCTTTTATTCTTGGCTTCTACATCTCCACTATGTCCCCAGATATCCAACCAGAAAAGGTTGATGCAGCTTGCCACAAATTGCATCTAACTTTCTATTCATTTATTTCTCTTCTTAATCATCATGGTTTTTCCTTTGAGATAAATTATCATGAAGTTTTTTTTTTGTTGTTGTTACTTCAAATATAACTAATGTATTTTCCCTAATAGACACAAACTTTTGGAAATGAATATAATGACTAACAGATGTGCTCTATGCACATCATTTCTGCCTTGTTGTGTCCCTTCAAGAGAAGGGGAACCCTCAACTACTATCTCTTTGGAGGATGAGGTAAAGGTGTTCTTTCCATAGAAATAAACAAATGTTTTAAAAATATTGTGATGCTTCAATTTAACTAAGAACTGTGGAAGAAATAATGCTGGATGGTCATCTATATACAATGCTAACAGGACAAGAAGGGATCACAATATAGGTTATATTTTTATTTGGATATGAAGGGAAAACATGTACACACTGAAGAAATTTCATTCAAGGATGATGTGGTATGCAGCTCATAAAGAAGCAATGAAAAACTGCTTTCCTTTTCTTTAAGAGAAGACTAGATACAATGACAATGTTCTGAAATAAAATTCTGATAAACTTACCAAATGGAAGCAGGAAGAAGAGCAAGAGGAAGAGACCTTGTCAAGAAGATTGTGTTGTGGACTTAGTGGTTACTAAGCTATTGTGAATATAAACAAGAACAGAATAGAATAGAATGCTGCTGATGTAGGAAAGTTTAGGCTGACATCACAGGTCTCATTTAGAACTTCTAAAGAAAAGGGTATGCCATGAGGATGAGATACCAATCATGCAAGTCATATGCCAAATGACCACAGCTTGTGGTCTGAGAGCATCACAAATCCTGAAAAGCACTTACAATATAAGGATGTTTCATGTCCTTTATTCAACCATCAGGAGCCAAAGAAATTTGTGACATTGTAATCCCATAAGATACAACCATTTAATTAACCATAGGATTTTTTAGAAGTGAAAATTAATTTAGAAAAATAGTAATAAAAAATTAAGCTCCACTCCTGCTTTATTCAGAATATCATGGCCCTTGCCCTCACTGGTACCTGAAGGAGTGCATGAAATTTTTTTATTTTCTTTTCTCATATCTGGGAAATCTGAACTAGAAAAATTATTTTTCTTTGAAATGGCCAAAAAATATCATGGCATTTTAGGTTTTCTCAGATTCATAATATAATTTCTGTTCAGTCCTGATGGAGGACTGGATTGAAATTTATTGTTCCCTAAAATTTTCTGTAAAATTTCAGTGATTCATAGAGAAAATGTAATTGAAAACCAGTTCCTTAATCATTGACTACTAGAAGAGAGCCTCAGAGGATTAAGAAATCATTTTTAATCCTACTATCTTCATATTATTAAATATGGCAGACATTATCATTAAAAGATGTCCAAAAGAGGTGGACATTCTATAAAAGATAAGAATAGGTTGTATTCTATTTGAGCACTCAGACTTTCAGAATTTAGTAATGTCAAAATAATAATTTTTAACTGATTTTCCTTTTCCATTTTCTTTTACCATATAAATATTTCAGATGTCTTTATTTTTAAAGTTTTCCAGTTACTAAAAGGGATAAAAATTGTATATTGTTCAGGTACTGCTATTTCCCCCCTAGAATCTACTAGCTTTTATTTCCTTACATGCTTCATAGAGTATATGATGTTGAGTGGGGACACCAAAGACAGGATGGGAATGAACAGCGGTTGGTTATTGTTTTGCAAAAGCTGTTATTACATGTCTTCATTCCTCTCCTACACAGAAATTTCTGCCTGGCTTATTTTCATTCTGTTATCATTGGCTGTGGAAAAATTTAGACTAATAAGCATTACAGAAGCAGAAATCTTTATACATTAATTATATTCAATTATAGTCACAGTGCTGAAACAACTCAATATAGACAAATTACTGCACAAAAATATCTTCTGTGCCACAATTCTATGGTAATAAGAAATTAATTTGGGGTCATTTATGCCAGAAAAATATGTAACAAAATAACAGCATGAAGTAATTTTATATCTAAGACTTTACTTCATCTTTAACTCTAAGAATTGTATCATCATAATTTTATTAGCTTATGTTAGTGGAATTCATGGTAGCTGTAAAGTTTGTATCATCTCATTATACATGTGTGTTCCCACGTGAGACAGAAAAAGCAAAAGCAAATGCAAATGCACTGTGTCCCATTGGCTTACATAGCAATCTAACCAGCCAGGTATCTCTGTCACTGTAGAAGAGGCCACCAAACAGCTTGAGAGGTATGATGACTTGGTCAAGGTCATGTTTCTTTTTTTTTAAAATATATATATTTATTGGTACATTTTAGGTATACAATACATTTACATTTATCACTGGGTGTTTGTACCAGAACATGTTGTATCTTAGTTTTTATTTTTTCTCCCATTACCTGTGCACCCTTCACCCCCTCCACCCTTCCCTATTTACACAGAGTTTGATTCCATTTTTTTTTCTCATAATTTTTCCTTTCCCTTCTTCCCTTTCCCCTTTCCCTTCCACCATCCCCAAACCCTTGGACCTTTTCTTATTTAAAATTATCAATTTTTCATTTTAATCATTTTCATCCTTATATACACTTTCAATTTCTCACACTAGAGAAACTATTCAGTATTTACACATGTGTGTCCTATTTGTTTCACTTAAGAGTATGGCCTCAATATGCATCCATTTAGCTATAAATGTCTCTAGTCTCTCATTCTTTATGGCTGAGTAGTACTCCATTTTATAAAAAAAACACATCTTCTTTATCCAGTTTCCAGTCTATGGGCACTTGGGCTGTTTCCAAGCTTTAGCTGTTACAAACTGTGCCGCTATAAACATAGGTGCACATATATCACTGTGGTATGATTAATTCTTTGGGGAAGATTCCCAGCAGGGGAATAGCTGGGTCAAATGGGACCTGTAGTCCCAGTTCTTTGAGGTATCTCCATACTGATTTCCACAGTGGTTGCACCAATCTACAGTCCCACCAACAATGGATAAGGGTTCCTTTCTCTCCACACCCCCGCCAGCATTTGTTATTGGTTGATTTCTTGATAGCAGCCAATCTTTCTGGGGTGAGGTGGAATCTCAGTGTTGTTTTCATCTGCATCTCTTGAATGACTAGTGATGTTGAACATTTTTTCATATATTTATTTGCTGTTTTTACTTCTTTGTCTGCAGAATGTCTGTTCATTTCAGATGCCCATTTTTGAATTGAGTCTTTCAATTTGGGAGGTCTGATTGTTTTCACTTATTTATATACTCTTGATGGTAGATCTTTGTCTGAGGTACAGCTGCTAAATATTTCTTCCCACATTGTAGGTTGCTTCTTAGCTCTGTTGGTAGTTTCTCTTGAAGGGCAGAAGCTTTTTAATACGATGAGATCTCAGTTGTTGATACTTCGTGCTAGCTCCCGTGCTACTGAAGATTTGTTCAAAAAGTCTTTTCCTATGCCAATGTCATCAAGAGTTCTACCTAACTTATCTTCTGGCAAGTTTAGTGTTTCTGACTTAATATTTAGATCTTTAATCCACTTCGATCTTAGTTTAGTGTGTGATGATAGGTATGGGTCTAGTTTTAATCTCTGACAGGTTGAAATTCAGTTTTTCCAACACCATTTATTATATAGGCTATCTTTCTTCTAATGAGGGTGGTTGGCTCCTTTGTCAAAGGCGAGGTGACTGAGTATGTCTGGAGTTGTTTCTGCATCTCCTAATCTATTCCACTGATCTTCAGGTCTGTTTCTTTGCCAGTACCATGCTGTTTTTATCACAGTGGTTTTGCAGTATAGATTCAAGTTTGGGATTGTGATGCCCCCAGCCATGTCTCTGTTGCCTAGAATTGCTTTTGCTATTCTAGGTTTCTTCTACTTCCAAATGAATTTTTGGATTGTTTTCTCTAGTTCTGTGAAGTGTATTGTTGGAATTTCAATTGGCATTGCATTGAATCTATATAGTAGTTTTGGAAGTATGGCCATTTTCACTATATTGGTTCTTCCTACCCAGAAACAAGGGATATCTTTCCATTTTCTTATATCTTCAATCTCCTTCTTCAGAGTGCTGTAGTTTTTCAATGTAGAGGTCTTTTGCTTCCTTTGATATTCTAATTCCTAGATATTTCAGTTTTTTAGATGCTATTGTAAGAGGAATTGTTTCCCAAATTTCTCTCTCAATGGGTCTGCTATTTGTGTTTAAGAAGGCTATTGTTTTTTGAGTGTTGACCTTGTATCCAGCTACTCTATTGAATCTGTCAATTAGGTCTAGAAGACTTTTGACTGAGTTTTTTGGATCTTTTAT